ATCAGAGCCACCAACCCTAACTCTAAGTCTAACCCTAGCCTCCGCCAAACAAGCAACACAACGAAACCACCCGGCCATCAACAAGCAACACCAAACCAGTCTCCACCGGCGAGCACCCAGTGACAAACCCACTGCCCACAGACATCCTCCACCAACACAGCTTCCACAAACAACCCAACTAGTTCCACCGACAAACCACCAGCGATAAACTAAGAATCAAACTACCCAGAACCCAACCCAGCGACAGCCTAGCCAACATCAGCAGCAACCCACAAACAACACTAAATCAGCCTACCACCAGATCACCGACAGCCACAAACCGCNCCAGAACCCAACCCAGCGACAGCCTAGCCAACATCAGCAGCAACCCACAAACAACACTAAATCAGCCTGCCACCAGATCACCGACAGCCACAAACCACCTAAACTAAACCAAGAATCAAACCACCCAGAACCCAACCCACCGACAGCCTAGCCAACATCAGCAGCAACCCACAAACAACACCAAATCAGCCTGCCATCAGACCACCGACAGCCAAAAACCACCAACCAACATAAACCACCGACAGCCCAATAAACCAACTCCATCAGCGAGACAACCCAATAAACCAACGAACTCAGCAAAATCAGTACTCCAAAATCAGTAACCCAACACAACTCAAAAAACCTAGGCTGCTATAACTCCAACACTTCTACTCATCCTCTTTCACTCTTATCCTCCTCCATTTTCTCCTTATCCTTATCCTTATCCTTCTCCTCCTACTCCTAGGGAGTGCTAGCTGTAAGGGGAGTTCAAATTGGTGGCCTTTCATAAAGCTCAGCAACTAGAAGAGGCTATTACGTTATCTTCCAATCAGGAGGCATCACCTCTGAGCAAATTGACGAGTCTTGATCTTTCGAGTGACTTTTCTTCTCTCTAACTTTTCCTCTTGCTTTTCTTTCTTCTCCCTCTCCTTCTCCTCTTGCCAATCCTCCTTCCTCAATCTATTCTTCCGTTCTTTTTCCAATCGATTTTCCTCTTGCTCCTTCTTCTCATCCTTTTCCTTCTCCTCCCTCATTCGTCTTCTTCCTCCTCTTCTAGTTCTTCTTCTGCCTCTCTTCCTCCTTTTTCCCCTGCATATCCTCTTGCTTCTCATCCTCCTCCTCTTTCTCCATCTCCCTCTCCCTCTCATTCCTTATGTTTCTTCTCCTTCTCCTCTTACTACTCCTTATTCTTCTTGTTCTTGTNTCCTCCTCTTTCTCCATTTCCCTCTCCCTCTCATTCCTTATGTTTCTTCTCCTTCTCCTCTTGCTACTCCTCCTTATTCTTCTTGTTCTTGTTCTTCCTCATTCTTCTCTTTCTCCTCCTCATCCTTCTCTTTCTCCTCCTCATCCTTCTCTTTCTCCTCTCTCCTCCCTTCTTTTTCTAGCCGATTTGCCTTTTTATCCTTCTCTCCCTGCTCTCCTGTTTTCCCTCATTCTTCTTTTTCTTCTTCTGCTTCCTCATTTTCTATTTCTCCTTCTCCTTCAGCTTCTACATCTCTTCCTCCTTCTTCCCTTGCTTTTCTTCTTCTTTCTCCTCCTCCTCATTTCTTTTCTTTTTCTCCTCCCCCTCCCCCTCTTTCTTTAGTCTTATCCTCCTCCTTTTTCTCCTTATTTTCTTCTCTTCCTAGGGAATGTTAGCTTTAAGGGGAGTTCAAATAAATGGCCTTTCATAAAGCTCAGCAACTAAAAGGGGCTATTTACGTTACCTCCCAATCAAGAGACATCACCTCCGAGCAAATTGACGGGTCTTGATCTTTCGAGTGACTTCTCTTCTCTCCTTCTCATTCTTCACCTACTTTTCCTCTTTCTCCCTCTTTTTTTCCTCTTGCCACTGTTCCTCCTTCTTCAATCTTCTCCTCATCCTTTTCTTTCTCGTCTCTCTTTCTAGTCGCTTTTCCTCTTTCTCCTTTTTCTCCTCTTTTTCCTTTTCCTCCCTCATTCTTCTTCTTCTTCTTCCTCCTCTTCTATTTCTCCTTCCTCCATCATCTGCATCTTTTCATCCTTCTCCCCCTACTTTTCCTCTCTCACTTCTTATCCTCCTTCTCCTTCTCTGCTTGCTACTCCTTCTACTTCTTGTTCTTCTTCAGTCTCCTCCTCCTCCTCATCCTTCTTTTTTTCCTCTTTTCCTATCATTTTTCCTCCTTTTTTTCAGCCAATTTCTCTCTTTCTTCTTCTCTCCCTGTTCTCCAACTCCTTCTCAGCCCTCATTCGTCTTTTTTTTTCCCTTCTTCCTCTTCTATTTCTCCTTTTCCTTCATCTTCTACATCTTTTCCTCCTTCACTTGTTTTTCCTCTTGCTTCTCCTTCTCTTTCATCTGCTCATCCTCCTTCACTCTTATGCTCCTCCATTTTCTCCTTATCCTTCTCCTCCTCGTAGGGAATGCTAGGTGTAAGGGGAGTTCAAATTTGTGGCCTTTCATAAAGCTCGGCAACTAAAAGGGGCTATTACGTTATCTTCCAATCAGAAGGCATCACCTCCAAGCAAATTGACGAGTCTTGATCTTTCGAGTGACTTCTCTTCTCTCTTTTTTCTCCTACTTTTCCTCTTGCTTTTCTGCCTTTTCCCTCTTCTTCTCCTCTTGCCACTCCTCCTTCCTCAATCTACTCCTCTTCCCTTCTTTTTCCTGTCGATTTTCCTGTTTCTCCTTCTTGTTCTTTTCCTTTTCCTTCTCCTCCCTCATCCTTCTTCTTCCTCATCTTCTAGTTCTTCTTCTGCATCTCTTCCTCCTTTTTCCCATGCATTTCCTCTTGCTTTTCATCCTCCTCTTTCTCCATCTCCTTCTCATTCCTTATGTTTCTTCTCCTTCTCCTCTTGCTACTCCTTATTCTTCTTGTTCTTGTTCTTCCTCACTCTTCTCCTTCTCCTCCTCGTCCTTCCCTTTCTCCTCTCTCCTTGTCGCTTTTTCTCCTCCCTTCTTTTTCCAGCCGATTTGCCCTTTATCCTTCTCTCCGTGCTCTCTTGCTTTTCCCTCATTCTTCTTCTTCTTCCTCCTTTTCTATTTCTCCTTCTCCTTCATCTTCTACATCTCTTCCTCCTTCTTCCCTTAGTTTTCCTCTTCTTTCACCTCCACCTCCTCATTTCTCTTCTTTTTCTCCTCCTTCTCCCCCCTTTTGCTTCAGTCTTATCCTCCTCCTTTTTATCCTTATTTTCTTCGCCTCCTAGGGAATGTTAGCTTTAAGGGGAGTTCAAATTTATGGCATTTCATAAAGCTCAGTAACTAAAAAAGGGCTATTTATGTTACCTCCCAATCAAGAGGCATCACCTCCGAGTATAATGACGGGTCTTGATCTTTCGAGTGACTTCTCTTCTCTCCTCGTTCTTCACCCACTTTTCCTCTTACTTCTCTTTCTCCCTCTTCTTTTCCTCTTGCCACTGTTCCTCCTTCAATCTTCTCGTCCTCATCCTTCTCTTTCTTGTCTCTCTTTCCTGTCGCTTTTCCTCTTTCTCCTTTTTTTTCTCTTCTTTTTCCTTTTCCTTTTCCTCCCTCATTCTTCTTCTTTTTCTTCCTCCTCCACTATTTCTCCTTCCTCCGTCTTCTACATCTCTTCATCCTCCCCCTTCTTTTTCTCTCTTACTTCTCATCCTCCTCTTGCTACTCCTACTTCTTGTTCTTGTTCTTTTTCAGTCTCCTCATCCTTTTTTTCCTCTCCTTCCTGTCGTTTTTCCTCCTTTTTTCTAGCTGATTTCTCTCTTTCTCCTTCTCTCCCCATTCTGCTGCTCCTTCTCCACCCTCATTCTTCTTTTTTTTTTCCCTTCTTCGTCCTCTTTTATTTCTCCTTTTCCTTCATCTTCTACATCTCTTCCTCCTTCATTTGTCTTTCATCTTGCTTCTCCATCTCTTTCTTCTTCTCATCCTCTTTCACTCTTATCCTCCTCCATTTTCTCTTTATCCTTCTCCTCGTCCTATTCCTAGGGAATGCTAGCTGTAAGGGGAGTTCAAATTTTTGGCCTTTCATGAAGCTCAGCAACTAGAAGGGGCTATTACGTTAGCTTCCAATCAGGAGGCATCACCTCCGAGCAAATTGATGAGTCTTGATCTTTCGAGTGACTTCTCTTCTCTCATTTTTCTCCTGTTTTTCTTCCTTCTCCCTCTCCTTCTCCTCTTGTCACTCCTCCTTCCTCAATCTACTCCTCTTCCCTCCTTTTTCCTGTTGATTTTCCTATTTCTCCTTCTTCTTCTTCTCATCCTTTTCCTTCTCCTCCCTTATTCTTCTTATTCCTCCTCTTCTAGTTCTTCTGCATCTCTCCCTCCTTTTTCCCCTGCATTTCCTCTTGCTTCTTATCCTCCTCTTTCTCCATCTCCCTCTCATTCGTTGTTTCTTCTCCTTCTCCGCTTGCCACTCCTCCTTATTCTTCTTGTTCTTATTCTTCCTCATTCTCCTTCTCGTCCTTCTCTTTCTCCTCTCTCCTTCCTGTCGCTTTTTCTCCTCCCTTCTTTTTCCTGTCGATTTGCATTTTTATCCTTTTCTCCGTGCTCTTCTGTTTTTTCCTCATTCTACTTTTTCTTCTTCTTCCTCCTTTTGTATTTCTCCTTCTCCTTCTTCTTCTACATCTCTTCCTCTTTCTTCCCTTACTTTTCCTCTTCTTTCTCCTCCTCCTCCCCCTCTTTCTTCAGTCTTATCCTCCGACTTTTTATCCTTATTTTCTTCTCCTCCTAGGAAAAATTAGCTTTAAGGGGAGTTCAAATATATGGCCTTTCATAAAGCTCAACAACTAAAAGGGGCTATTTATGTTACCTCCCAATCAAGAGGCATCACCTCTGGGCAAATTGACTGGTCTTGATCTTTCGAGTGACTTATCTTCTCTCCTTCTCCTTCTCCCTCTCCTTTTTCACCTACTTTTCCTCTTACTTCTCCTCTTTCTCCCTCTTCTTTTCCTCTTGCCACTGTTCCTCCTTCAATCTTCTCCTCCTCATCTTTCTCTTTCTCATCTCTTTTTCCCGTCGCTTTTTATCTTTTTCCTTTTTCTTCTTTTTTTCCTTTACCTCCCTCATTCTTCTTCTTCCTCCTCTTCTATTTCTCCTTCCTCCTTCATGTTCCGCACCTCTCTCTCCTCCCCCTGCTTTTCCTCTCACTTCTCATCCTTTTTCTCCTTCTCCTTCTTCTTCTTGTTCTTCTTTAGTCTCCTCATCCATCTTTTTTTTCTCTCTCCTTCATGTCTTTTTTTTTAGCCAATTTCTCTCTTTCTCATTCTCTCCCTGTTCTCCTGCTCCTTCTGCACCCTCATTCTTCTTTTTTTCCCTTTGATCCTCCTTCTTCACTTGTTTTTCCTCTTGCTTCTCCTTCTCTTTCTTTTGCTCATCCTCCTTCACTCTAATCCTCCTCCATTTTCTCCTTATCCTTCTTCTCATCCTACTCCTGGGGAATGCTAGTTGTAAGGAGAGTTCAAATTTCTGGCCTTTCATAAAGCTCAGCAACTAGAAGGGGCTATTACGTTATCTTCCAATCAGGAGGCATCACCTCCGAGCAAATTGACGAGTCTTGATCTTTCAAGTGATTTTTGTTCTCTCCTTTTTCTCCGGCTTTTCCTCTTACTTTTCTTCCGTCTCCCTCACCTCCTCTTGCCACTCCTCCTT